TTGATGTAGGTTGTTTTGCTCACACACTGGATCGTGTTGGCGACAATTTTCAAGTACCTCATATTTCAGAGTTTTTTTCAGCTTGGACCACATTGTTTTCTCACAGCTCTAAGGCTAAGCTTAAGTGGAAAGAGCAGACTGGCAAATCTGTGATGTCATATAGTGCTACTAGATGGTGGTCAAAATGGGAAATTCTTCATCAGGCTTTTCTTCTGTTTGGTGATACTGAACCTTTTATAAAGAATAATCCTGATATAGGATCTGCTACCAAAGTCAAGCTACTTACATTTTTTCAAAATCCAAAAAAATGGTTCTTCTCAAGCTTGAGCTAGCTGCACTTGTTGATTGGGGCAAACCTTTTGTTACAACAACGTATGACTTAGAAGGAGATGGGCCACTAGCATTCATGTGTTACGACAAGATATAAGCTATTGTTACTTCCATTGAAGTAGCTAATACTCCTAATATCAATGCAGTTGTGAGAGTTTAGTCCAGGTAATTCACAGTCACAACAGCAGCTAATTGCCTATGCAAACAGTTGTACCGTATAGCATCAAATTTTCGTGGGTGAAAATTTTCGTGATTTCATACATTTTTGCTTTCAAGTAAATTTTCGTTAAAAAATTTTCGTGATTTAAATAAAATTTCGTGATGATTAAAACCACTCCTATCCATGTGGCCGCTAGTAGCTAGCCTTCCAGCTGGACTTGGAGAAGAAGCAACATGAGTGGTAGCATTATTCGATATTAATTCCCTTCGAGTATCCGTGGCTATCACGTATACCAAGAAAGGTGGACTCCCTTTATAGGAGAGACTCTTAGCTGTGCAGCCTGTGCCCGAGAAACAAATAAAAGGCGTGATGGGACACGCCCACATTTATATCAAAATTAAATTTCGTGAAAAATATTTTCGTGATTGTCCATTCAGTCACAAAAATCACGAAAATTTTCAACCACGAAAATTTGACGCTATACGGTATACAACCAGGGATGGACTATTTCTCAAAACAACTCCAATCATCTCTTAAAGATTCATTTGCAGCTTTTAAAGCAGCTCGATTATTCTGTCCATATAAACTCAACATGCTCAAAGCAAAAGCTGATGATATCAAATGCTTAAATTCTTTTCAATTTCTTCAGAATAGTGTACCTGATTCGAAGGCAGAGTTGGCCACGTACTTAGCTAAAGCTGAAGGTGTTTCTGATGTCACAATTGATGTTATTGAGTGGTGGAAAGGTCATGAAAAGGAACTACCTGCTTGGGTAGCAGCAGCAAAAATGGTCTTGGTGGTTCAACCAACTTTGGGGGCAGCTGAACGGGTATTCTCTATTCTGAACAATACTTTCAATTACCAGCAAAATAATGCTTTACAAGATTATATGGAGGCTTCAGTTATAATGCAATACAACTATCGCTAACAATTGGAATGAAACAGTTTAATTGAAACATTTTTGAAGAACTTTTTTCATTAAATTTTCCCAAAAAATACATTAAAGTTATTAAATCTGTTATAGAGTCATTAAGTAACTGGAATAAATGGTACAGTTAGTGAGCATATTGTTCTGATCTTGAAGAATGTTAGGAGTCTTTCTACAGAATTGCTAAAAGGAATTATTCCTAAAATAGTGGGCATAATAGACATAAGCCTAATTAGAGGTAGATGAATATTTGACGTAACTATGTTCCCAGCAGTGCTATAAATACATGTATAGAGGGAACAGATGTTGCTGATATTCTTATGTATGCCAGCAACGTCTGCTAATTGTGATGATACTGGATAACAAAAGGAATTTGTGCTCCACCATGCCAAAGGATTATCAGTAGTAATAGGCTCTAAAGAATATCTGGAAATTTCTGTATGAGCCTTTTGGAGGTTATTCAAGCACTCAGACACTTTACCATCAACTGCAGGAAAACTAAAAATACTTCCATACAACACTACTTTATAGTAGCACCAGGTAAAGGCAATAATTCTGTTTTTTGGAGCACTAACTAATTTAAAGTAACCACATGTTTGATAATGCGCATGCTGTCAATTGTGATACCGTATAGCTGGTAATTTTTGGTGGTTGAAAATTTCGACTGAAACCAGAAATGACTTAAGAATAAAAATTCGTTGGTTTTATTTTTGACTAGACAAAAATAATTGAACTTATGTCTTCATTAGCATCTGCAGGACTGATAGCATTAGAAAGAGGTCCCCTGGTCTTGTAGGATCTGGAAGAGATTCTTTAGAAGGTGAACACTGTTTTCAAGGACATCCATGCTTGTTATCATGTTACTAATAATTTATTATGGTCACGCCTATCTTCAGAATTAATTTGCATCAGAATTAATTTTCATTCAGAATTAATAGCAACAAAACGAACGAAAATAAGGACCAGTCAAAAATTACCTGCTATACGGTAGTGTTTACTCAACTATCATGATAGTGATAGTAGATTACTATCGCGACCATCACATGTATCGATACTATCGCCCAGCACTATTAGAAATGATCGGAAGTACTGAACTAAATTCCCATGACGAAAATCTTTAAGATATTGTGGAGATCCTGGAACCATATGCAGAGGCCACAGAATTTGTGCAAGTGGTTTGCATTAAGGGCTTAAAACATCATCTAAAAATATGGTGCCTAAGTACCATTCTTCATTTGTTGCTGGTCTCACTGAGTCACTTAACAAGTACTTGCCATATTTTGAAAAAAAGAGATTTATACATTAGCTTCTATACTGGTCCCATAATACAAAATTCATTGTACTGTGATGATAATGAAAAGCAGACATTCACTGGGCAATTGCAAGCAAAAGTAAAAATGATAAATACATGTAGTTCTATCTCAGTTTAACCAACAATCGCCACACCAAGGACAACAGAACCACCGCCAAAAAACTAAGTCCTTGTTTAGTTTCATGCCATCAGTTTTCTATAGATGTGATAGTTGGTTCAGATACAATACTTACTAATATAAATGCTTATTTGGAAGCACCAGCCTTACCCATCGAAACTAATCTGCTAACATTATACGATAATTCAAAAAATACACGCTACTGGCAGTGCTAGCTAAAAAAATTTCTGTACCATCTTCATCCTCTCCACTTGAGAGACTTCTTAGCATTGCTGAAAAAATATTTAGACCAGAAAGACATACATGATAACAAATTGCAACAATTAATATTTATTTGTTGCAACAACACACAAATTTTATCAATAAAATAATAGAAAAAAACTCATTTTACTGTACTCTTCATAGCACTTCACCTGTACTTAAGAACTTTTATGAAAAAGCACATGTACATGTACTTAAGTACCACTGCAAAGCACATGTTTTTAACTTAAGTACTTCGCCCTATCACTGGATAGATCATTATGGTAATAATATAATTGTAAAAATTTTCTGTTGCTTGTTGTATTTCAGGAAGAATGTGCTTTCATGTGTTCCATTTGCAACTTTAATGCTTTTTAAAACAACATTAAGATACTTAAGTTGTTTCAAAAACATACCACTTTCATCTACTACAAGCAAGTCTAAGCTTTGCAGCAAAGCCCAAATTGTATTTAAAAGAAGTCTAGTTTAAAAGAAATCGTGTTCAGAAATAAATGGTGACTAGGAGTGTTGTAATCTAATCAAGGATTAAAATATTTAAAGCAAAACTTTTAAAATGAAAAATATGAAACAAATTAGCCATAACATTTGATTCACATATTACACAAGTAAATAAAAAACAT